AATATAATGCATTTATAGTAATTGTTGTTGAATCAATATGGTAGCACTGCGATAGGGGAGATAACTCTTGAAAATATGATAAAATATGAAAATCAATCTGGTATGTTAAAATTTATTTTATAGGCATGGTCAAAATATTTAATATTTGCTAAGTGTATTGCCTTAAGATAAAGTAGTAGGTAATATTGTATGTATTTGGTCTCTGTAGCCATACAACATGGAGCTGGATCTGAAGTTTTTTTTGTCAAACAGTGTCTTTAAATTTTCACAAATGACCTAGATCTCAATTTTTTTTTCAGGTGGGCTGGAACTCCCAACCTACCCGAGCTGTTATTTTTGAGGATTGTGAGGTACCTGCTTCAAATCTGATAGGGGAACTTGGGGATGGTTTTAAGATTGCCATGAGAGGTTTGAATGGAGGAAGGATTAACATAGGTAACTACATGTGGAGTTTCATGTTTTTTGGTTTTTAGCTCACCTCAACGAAGTTGGGGGAGCTTATGTAATACCCTCGACGTCAGCGTCCCAGGTTAAAGTTTTTGGAGCAGTTTTCTTTTAAAGTACTTCTATGCCCTATATCAATCAGAGATGCTTCTAGTGTGTTTCATTGTACCAGTCAAGGTTTCAGATGCTGCAATTTCAGCTAAAGAATGACCTGATTCATGTTTTTGGAGCAGGTTAAAGTTTTTGGAGTAGGTCTCATTTCCAAGTAACTATAGGCCCTATATTGACCAAACTTGCATGGATGATACATCTAAAGATGCACACTACTGAACTTGCTTCGGATGCTGGATCTGACCTATATTTTCCAGATGAGTGACCAGGTTAAAGTTTTTGGAGCAGATCTCATTTCTAAGTAACTATAAGCCCTATATTGACCAAACTAGCATGGATGATACATACACCTAAGGATGCACACCATTGGACTTGCTTCAGATGCTGGATCTGACCTATATTTTCCGGATGAGTGACCAGGTTAAAGGTTTTCGAGTAGATCTCATTTCCAAGAAACTATAAATGCTATATTGACCAAACTTGCATGGATGATACACCTAAGAATGCACACCATTGGACTTGCTTCAGATGCTGGACCTGACCTACATTTTCCGGATGAGTGACCAGGTTAAAGGTTTTTTGAGCAGATCTCACTTCCAAGTAACTATAAGGCCTATATGAACCAAACTTGAATGGATGATGCATCAGGGGACGAACACTCTCAAACTTGCTTCAGATGCTGGATTTGACTTACATTTTCTGGATGAGTGACTAGTTTTAAGTTTTTAGATAAGTCCATTCCCAAGCAGCAAGCCATATCAGACCAAAATTGCAAAAATGTTGCATCTAGGGATGCACACTACTAGATTATTAGTTTAGTGTGGGACTTTGCCTTACTTAAAGACAACATTCATTGAGGTCAGCTCTGTAATCTCTGATTAGTCTATGTTTAAACTAACTGATGCAGTAGAACTCCTTAATAATGAACATGAAAGGGAGGGGGTTGGGTGGAGGGAATGTCAGCTTTTATGAAGTACACCTGTACAAGATAATGAGAATTAATGTACATGTACTGCAGAAAATGAGCAGCTGTGGAGATGTGACAATCTCTAGAATGAGAAAACAAAATATTAGGGATGGGTATCGGCAAAAGTTTTGTATTGTGATATATCACGATTTTTTCCCAAAAATATCATGATAATTATATCATGATATTTTTTACACACAATTTTTACTACAATTTCAAATGAATTTCCATGATATGACTTAAAAATATGCTATAAAAGCATAACTTCACTTTTAAATTTTTTATTTATTCAATATAAAGCATGTTTGAATACCGTTGTTTAACTATTTTCAACATTTTTTTTTTACACTTCCTGTAATTGTCATTCAATAGTTTGAACAGATAAATGAATAATTTCGGAAATTTATACATGAAGTTCCAAAAACCAGTATTTTAGTCTCCGTATCACGATACGTATCACGCAATAAAAAATCATGATATACCGGTATACAGATAAAATTGCACATCCCTACAAAATATTGTGATGGTAATTTGTTCTCCCTTTGATTAATACATTACGGAGGAATTTTAATTCATTTGTTTATGTTTACAGCTTCTTGCTCATTAGGGGCTGCACAATCTAGTCTTGAACTTGCCAGGGATCATCTCAAAGTCAGAAAACAGTTTGGAAAGACATTGGACAGTTTCCAGGTAAAAAAAAAATTAGAGCTTCATACTTGACAAGGACAGTATGGTTAGCAAGTTTTTTTATGAAGGGTAAATGTAATGATATTTTCTTTTTTAAAGTCTGTTACAGTCATAAAAATGTAAAAATTGATGTTTTTCAAATAACATTTTTCATAATTGAATTTATTTGAAAAAAAAGTGTATTATTAACCCACCATTTTTTTTCAAGCATTAATTATACATGTAATAAAACTTGATTTTTTTTCTCAGCATCTCCAATTCACGTTGGCAGAAATGGCCACTAAACTTGTAACCTCGAGAAACATAGTCAGAATGGCTGCCAAAGCCCTCGATGAGGACTGGCCCGAAAAAGTGTCCCTGTGCTCTATGGCCAAATATTTTGCCACAGAAGAATGCTCAAAAGTAACCAGCTTATAAGATTCTTCTTAATTGTAGTCAGGTTTCATGTATTTTGTTAGTGATTGTTTGATACCAGGACATTTTCAACATTTTGAATATAGACTTATTTTTACTACAGAGCTATTTTCAAAGTAGAATACAAATAATTTGACAGTTAAATTCACATATACAAATTATATAAAATGTACAGGTTATGGAATGGTACCCCCCCCCCCCCAAAAAAAAAAAATCAATCAATCAATCGTGAAATGGTGAAATGTGAACTCTTCAATGATTATTATGTATATATTCAGTGTTTCCTGATTGTGATGAACTAAGATCCAAGCATCTATGGTGTACATAATTTTATTGATTCTGGCATGCATAAGTTGAACATTATAATATATAAAGATTTGAACATGCCTCCTAAGTACCAGTTCTTTCATATTTCCCTAGATTTGTAATGAAGCTTTACAACTCCATGGTGGCTATGGTTATCTGAAAGACTATGCTATACAACAGTATGTCAGGGACATTAGGGTACATCAGATCCTGGAAGGTAATTTATGGTTTTAAATTACATTGATAAACATTTTCACTGTACTTTCTTAGCAATAATTCATAGGAAAAAGCCATTCATTGACAGATTTATGAGGGATGCACCCCTATTATAAGCTATTTCTTTATTAACTTTGTGCTTTCTGTATTAAAATGAAAATCTTAGATCTGTCCCCCAGCTCCTTGCAAAATGTCTTTGTGTTTTAAAGCCCATTATCAGATATTTTTAAAAGTTGATTTTTTTTTTGTTTATCCTAGCTGTTAGACTACTGATATTAAAGTCATTCATGCTTGTTAAAAAATTTACATGGCTAAGAAATTATGGGTATCCTTTTCTTTTTCAGGAACAAATGAAATAATGAGACTTTTGATATCCAGGGACTTACTGACAGATGGAGAAAGAAAATATTCTTGATAGTATTGTAGTAACCTGCTCTTTTATTTGACATAAAAATGTGACCTGTCCATTTCCATGTAATTTCTAGTGATGAGATTTTATGTTACGAATCACAACAACACAGAATACATAGTATATACCTGAGTATTTTGTTGCTCTGCATAATATATAGTGTGATACATTTCCTGGGTAATTAAAACTCATTTTGAATGATCTTTTGGTAGGAAACTGCAAAAAATACACTGATGGGTTGTATAACAGCATGTATGAAAAGATCAACATCATTTTTTACTTATAAATTAGGTACATGTAAATGCATTTATTTCTTCCTGACTGTTGAATTCTAACTTTTACTCTCTGTGTGATGTGCTGCTTCTTGCCAATTTTTAATGGGATTATCAACTTTTGGCAGATGATTTTTTGGAGAAATGGAATTAAATTTGTTTTCTTATCTTAAGAATCAAATATACAGTTACTTTAAAAATTTGATATCTCAAAAATAACAGGACTGTTAAAAAACTTTGTGATATACCAGATTTCGAAATTGAAACTGGACTCACTTTGATGTATCTTTTGTATTCATGCAGAACTGTGATGTTTGAGATATCAGAGTTCTATGAAATAAAGTTCACTGGAAGGGTATCAACATGTTTCCTATTTTAACTCATGGGAATTAATAAGAAATGGCATTTAAATTAAAAGTGAATATTAATAAGTTACATTCTGCACATTTTGATTCCACCAATCTGAAAATTATTGGTTAATTATTAACTTTTTCAGACTTAGAAACTAAGGATCCATGCAGAGCTGATATATGTGATATTGATTACATTTCTACTGTAAAGTAATTTTAAAATCTACTTGCGAGTTTTGCAGACTTGCTTTATTTTCTAGTACATCTATGTGGAGAAAAATTTCTTCATATGAAACAAGAAATTTTAAAACTAGTTTTTTTTTTAAATATTATACAAGATGACTGTGATATGTACATGCATAATATGAATATAAAGTAAAAAAAAAGAGAGAGAGATTTTTTTGGTTGTTGTTCTTTAAATAATTTTTTGGGTGTGGTTATGTATGCACGGTGTATAAGATCCCCCCCCCCCCCCACACACACGCACACTCTCTCGGTACAATGATATAGATATCATATAGATATAGACACAATCCATGGTCTTTTTTTCTTCCTAGATCCGTGCATGAAATCTGTCAGGAAGTGTGAAGTGTCTGCCAGGATGTACCTGAGTTGATGTCTTCAAAGGTTAACTTTTAGTTTCGGTTCCCTATCGAAACAGGAGGGGGACTTTCTTTTTCCGGAAATATAGCATTTGTCTGGTTCATGTTTTAAACTATTCTTCCGGGTATTTTTAACGCTTGATTAGTCAAAACATTTTCACCTTGCTGAGAAGCGTTTCAATCAATTATCGACGTGACGTCAGAAGTCGATCTGTTGACGGAGGAGATTCGGGATTTGTAGGGCGAGAAGTGATCCTCATCCTGGAATATTAAAAAGCGATTTAGGTATTGTAAAAGTTCATTGTTCGAAAAGAAAGTAGTTCCTTTTGCTTTTCTCTTTCTGGGTCATTGAATTGTATGTGAAGATCATAGTGTTTAACTGCAGTTGATGAATAGGATAGTTGTGACTTTGCACGCACTCGTCTGCTCTCTCTCGTTCCAGTAAATCGGGGGATTGATCATTCATGATCAGTAAGAAGATTGACTGATTTTCGAAAGCAACGATGAAAGTGCTCAAAGCATTTTAAAGAGATATATAACTCTATTGCATAAATGCGTTGATAACAATTTCATTGACAAGTAGGCTAATAAGGTGCATTTTGAATACATCTGAGCATGCTGAAACCAATTTCCCCCTACCCCATATTTGTATATTTAAAAAAAAATATCTATGTAAAAGCAGTAAACTCTTTGGACGAAAATGATTGATGAATATTTTCATAGATTCGCTCAATGTGTTATAATAACTTAAGCTGAATGATAACTTTCTGTCCGCTAGTGGATTTTCTTTGAAAATATAAACATGATAAAGATAGAACTTTACCACAGGTTAGGGCTCTCACATGCAAATTTGGAACTTAGACCAGGACAAGTTAAATTGAGGAAAGAAGTGATATTTAATCTGAAAAAGGGAACATGAATTAAATATGTGGTATATTGTAACTGTTTTGTGTCAGTATGTGTCAAGTCTTGTGGATCCATCATGCTGAAAAGTGTTCAGGGTAATATATGTATACCTGTATGTAAAAAACAAAATATGAAAGCCCTGGAGTCTCTTCTAGTCAAAAAACTACAGTCAAGGTTAAAATTGTCAAACTTCAAGATCAAACTCATGAGATCAGAATCATAGTACATTCTGAAAGGTCTTGTCACAGGTAATGGTGCACTTGTGAAATTTGAAAACCCTATCTTCTGTTGTTTAAAAGTTGTTACCTTTAAGTCAAAATTAATGGAAAGTAGATCAAACTTCTAGGTCAAGGTCCTGAGGTCAAAACACATAGTACATTCTGAAAGGTCTTGAAATGTAAAAGTCTTATCTTAATTCTCTCATTCATTCAAAAGTTATGACCAAGGTTAAAGTTTTCTGCAATTTTAATTTTGAAGTGTGACAGACAGGGTGACAACAAATACTGTAGAAGGACAGACAAATGAGACTAATTATTGTCCCCATGCTTTGCGAAAGTGGGGAACAATTAGAACAAATGCACTTTAAAAGGAAATGATTGTGTTGAGATCTTGTTCTCTTCATGGCTGAATAATTAATTCAAGACTTGTCATGATTTTCTAGCATTTAATATTGATTAAATATAGGGAAATTTAAACACATAATTTTTTCTGGCATTTCATATTGGTTTTAACATTTGGAAAATTATGTTATTTTTAGGGAAAATGGCATTTTTATACCCGCACTTTCTAAAGAAAGTCCAGGTATATTGTTGTTACTCATGTCTGTCCGTCCGTCCGTCCGTCTGTCACACTTTTCTTTCTCAAACTCCTCTTACATTTTACACAGTAGCCTAATCATCTTTTGGGAGATGGTTGGTGGTGTCATGTAGATGTGCAGTAAGGTTTCGGAATTTTCATTTTCACCCTGGGGGTCAAATGGGGGTCGAAAAATGACGTTTTTTATGCAAAAAGCCCCTGGTTCCCTGAACTCCTCTTACATTTTACACAGTAGCCTAATCATCTTTTAGGAGGTGGTTGGTGGTGTCATGTAGATGTGCAGTAAGGTTTCGGAATTTTCATTTTCACCCTGGGGGTCAAATGGGGGTCGATAAATGACGTTTTTTATGCAAAAAGCCCCTGGTTCCCCGAACTCCTCTTACATTTTTCACAGTAGCCTAATCATCTTTTGGGAGATGGTTGGTGGTGTCATGTAGATGTGCAGTAAGGTTTCGGAATTTTCATTTTCACCCTGGGGGTCAAATGGGGGTCGAAAAATGACGTTTTTTATGCAAAAAGCCCCTGGTTCCCTGAACTCCTCTTACATTTTATACAGTAGCCTAATCATCTTTTGGGAGATGGTTGATGGTGTCATGTAGATGTGCAGTAAGGTTTTGGAATTTTCATTTTCACCCTGGGGGTCAAATGGGGGTCGAAAAATGACGTTTTTTTATGAAAAAGCCCCTGGTTCCCAGAACTCCTCTAACATTTTACACAGTAGCCTAATCATCTTTTGGGAGATGGATTGTGGTGTCCTGTAGATGTGCAGTAAAGTTTCGGAAATTTCATTTTCACCCAGGGGTCAAACAGGGGTCGAAAAATGACGTTTTTAATGCAAAAAGCCCCTGGTTCCCTGAACTCTAGGGCTGGGACGATACTGAACTTAGTCGATCCGATACATATCACGATACCTTAGGTGCGATACGATACATATCACGATACATTTAAAACCAAATAAAACTATGAATTTTTTTTAGAACATTTAATTTGGAACATAACAGTGTATGAAAACAAACTAATTCAACAAATGAACTGTGAATTCAAGTTTCTTGACTCAAATTACAGTCAATTATATTAAAATTAATCAGAAATCTTTAGTCAATTTAATATAATCCGGCGTGTCTGACGCCATTTTGACGCTTATATCTTGAATTCTGTATCAGAAAGACGTTTGTACTTTATTTGTGTTTGTTTAAAGGTCTTGATGATACAGACTAAAGGACTAAAAATTTCGAATTCTAAAGTCCGGACATTTTTGGAAATTAAAAAAAAAGTGCGGTCAGGTATCGTGATACTAAATTAGATGAATCGATCTGTAGATCGTCAAAGTGAATACTGTGATGCATCGGTGCACCGGTGGATCGTCCCACTCCTACTGAACTCCTCTTACATTTACACAGTAGCCTAATCATCTTTTGGGAGATGGTTGGTGGTGTCCTATAGATGTGCAGTAAGGTTTCAGAATTTTTATTTCCCCCATGGGGGTCAAATGGGGGTCAAATTTAAAAAAAAATATTTAACATGTTTAAACACCCTGGTTCCCAGAACTTCCCTTATATTTATGCACTAGCCTTAAATCATGATCATTTGAAAGATGATTGATTTTGTCCTGTGGATGTGTAAAATGGTTTTAAAATTTGCATTTCCATGTGGATAGCAAACTAGGGGCAGGAAAAAAAATGGCCCCTCCCTAACACATGGGGTCATGATTTGTACAAACTTGAATCTACACTTCTTGGGAATGTTTCCATATTAACCATGCTTTAGTTGTTCTTAAAAAGAAGAATTTTGAATTTTTTTTTTACCTTTTATTCCTATATAAAACTTTGATCCCTTATTGTGGTCTGACCCTATCCTTGGAGGTCATGATTTGAAAACTAGAAATATGTCCATAGGACGTAAATGCCCCGCCGAGTGTATATTACTAATGCAACATGAAAATTTGTATGAGTGTATGAATTTTGATGAGAATATCTTGAACAGTTTCTTTAAAATTGAAACTAAAATCTAAAAAAAAAAGGAAATAGATGATAAAATCTCACAAAATTATGTATAAGTGCATGCTTACATAAAAATATCTTAGATTGTTTCTTTAAAACTAAGCAAAATGCAAATTAAAGAGAAGGGAGGTCAAGGTCACAGGAAAGTGCAAGGTGAAAAGTTTTTGATGCAGTTGAATAGCTCTCACTAATACATATCAGCATATTAGGTTTGATAAAAATATCTTCAATGATTTATTTAAAACTGAGCTTAACACTTATTTTAGAAAAGAGAGGTCAAGGTCAAAGGAAAGGTTGAGGTCAAAATGCTGATGCAGTTGAAAAGCTTATATCAGTATGTATTTACTATTAGCATATGAAGTTCAATAAGAATATCATAAATGGTTTATTTAAAACATAGATAAACACTAATTTAAAAAAGTGAGGTCAAGGTCAAAGGAAAAGTCAAGGTCAAAAAAGTTGATGCAATTGATAGCTCTTAGCAGTATATATCAGCATATGAAGTTTGATAAATATATCTTGAATTGTTTATTCAAAACTGATCTAGACACTAATTTAAGAAAAGTAAGGTCAAAGGAAAGGTCAAGGTCAAAAAGGTTGATGCAGTTGAAAAGCTTGCATCAGTATGTATCAGCATATGACGTTTTATTGAAGTCGGACATGACAAACACTATATGCCTCGGCCATATTCATGGCAGGGCATAAAAAACTTGAATCTACACTATATGAGGATGTTTCCATATCAAAATGACTAACAAGCAAATTCAAAGAATTGTGGTCCCCTGCTTTCCGAGTCCTAGGGAATGGGATGCTATTATTTATGACATATTGTTTCAAATATGCACACCCTATCATATGTCATTCAAAAGTAATAACCAAAGTTAAAATTTTTGAAAATTAGGTAAAACATCAAGGTCAAGGGGTAAAAAAATCATAGCATGCTCGGAAACATCTTGTTACAGGTAATGTACATGTCATATATGAAAGTCCTATCTCTTCTCAATCAAAAGTTATAAGGAGATATAACATTTTTGAAAAGTAGGTTAAACTTCAAGGTCAATGTCACAGAGTCAAAAGTCATGATATATTTAGAAAGGTCTTGTCACAGGTAATATACATGTATAATATGAAAGCCCCGATCTTTTCTCTTTCAAAATGATCAATTTAAAATAATGTTAAATTTTTGGAAAAGTAGATCAAACTTCAAGGTCAAGGTCATGGGTTCAAAAATCATAGTATGTTTAGAAAGTTCTTGTAGGTAATGTACATGTGAAATATGAAAGCCCCTATCTCTTATTATTCAGAAGTTATGACCAAGGTTAATAAATTTATTGTGACAGACGGACAGACTGACAAACGGACAGACTGACAAATGGACAGACTGACAGACAAATGAGATTTAATGTCCCCTAGGTTCCTTTTGCGAAAACGGATGACAATAATGCCCTTGCTGTTCATGGGAAGAAGATTTATGATGGAAAAAATCCCCTGCATTTTTCTATGTAAATCATTGGATCCCCATATGTGGCCCCACCCTACCCCAGTGGGTCATAATTTTAACAA